CACACGCGTGTATCTGCGTGTACGTGCGTGTATCTGCGTGTACGTGCGTATACCCGCGTGTGCGTGCGTGCACACGCGTGTACCTGCGTGTACGTGCGTGTATCTGCGTGTACGTGCGTATACCCGCGTGTGCGTGCGTGCACACGCGTGTACCTGCGTGTACGTGCGTGTACCTGCGTGCACGTACGTGTACCCGCGTGTACGTGCGTGTATCTGCGTGTACGTGCGTGTACCCGCGTGTACGTGCGTGTACGTGCGTGTACCCGCGTATACGTGCGTGTACCCGCGTGTACGTGCGTGTATCTGCGTGTACGTGCGTGTACCCGCGTGTACGGGCGGGTACGTGCGTGCACGTGCGTGTATCCGCGTGTACGTGCGTGTGCCCGCGTGTACGTGCGTGTACCCGCGTGTACGTGCGTGTATCTGCGTGTACGTGCGTGTACCCGCGTGTACGTGCGTGTACGTGCGTGTACCTGCGTGTACGTGCGTGTACCCGCGTGTACGTGCGTGTACCCCCCCTGTGCGTGCCTGCCTGAGCAGCCATTGTTTACAAAATTGCCTAGCTTAGCCTCGTTTTCGTGCGATGACCCCCAGGTCATGAATAATAATTGAGAATGGTCTATACCCCTAACTTCGTTGGCGGGGGTATAATTACTGTCATCTTCATTCATGACCGAATTATCAGGTGGCTAGGAATAAATATGTATCTAAAATTATAAACGTTAGGCAAGACACTACATTTTTAGGTAACTGTCTTTATTGGATGTAATCAGCAGCAATGTATCCAACAAGGGAATTACTCAAGGGAACTCTTGTTATTACCCTGCCTGTGAAAAGATAGCTCTACGATTTGTTTAAAAGCAAAAATATATATAAATTTATAACCTAAATTAGCTGAAAATAACCCTAGAACCTAGAGGCTACTGTTCCTTTAAGCAAGAAATTTAATTGAAAGCACCGTCATTAACTAATTGAATAACATGTGCAACCCTGCTGGTCCCAACTGTTTACTGTTAGAAATAGTACTGCCTACCAAAGAGCAGGAGACGAACCAACATATTATTATACTGGAATAATTCCTTGTCCCTTGTTTGTTAATTTCCTTGTTGAACGGACTTTTGCTATCACACAGTAGTCAAACATACGGAATAGGAAAGTCGCCGAAGTGACTCGATAATTAATTAAGACACATCTTGCATACATCTATACGGCGTTTGAATATTCCAGTCAATTGCTGAACCAATTGATATTAATGCTGTGACACAAAGGGAATCGATCAAATTAATTACACAACATCAGCGTGATTAAAATTACTCAAACAGCTTAATGACTCCAGGTCATTAGTCTTTATATCGTTAGCCTCCAAGTCTTTACAATAAATATAACAATAGCTAGGATAATGACAAGTATACATGCCTTTTTAACGGAATGGATAAATAACTGGGGGCAAAAAATACACATTTAGAGAGAAATGCCCGTTAAATAAATCGCAGTGGCTAGTAGTGGCTACGCGTCCGTAACCGGTCGCCTAGCCTCCAGGCTACGCATCCGGACATCCACTCACAGTGATCGCGCGACTCGCGTACACGCATGATTGCGAAACGGGACAATCTCTCTCTCTCTCTCTCTCTCTCTCTCTCTCTCTCTC